TCCAGGCTGCGGGGATTGCTGCTGCCCATCGCTGCTGTCATCTATCGCCACCTCAGCATGCCCCATTTTTGCCCTCTGTGCATCCTGTTTTCAGCCTCTGCGTGCCCCATTTTTGGCCTCCGTACATCCCATTTTCAACCCATTCCAGGCAGTGGGGATCATCGCCACCGCCGCCTATCCCCACCGCCTGGAACGGGCTGAAAATGGAATGCATGGAGGCTGAAAATGAGGTGCGTGGAGGCCGAAAATGGAGGCCAAAAATGGGGGACGTGGAGGCTGAAAATAGGGTGTGCGGAGGTCGAAAACGGGATGCACAGAGGCCAAAAATGGGGCACGTGGAGGCGGCAATAGGTGACAGTGGTGATGGGCAGTGATGGTGCCTTTGGGTGGTAGCGATCCTCGCAACCTGGAACAGCTGATAGGAGGTATTCTGGGAGGCCGATCCAATCGCCAATCTAATGCTAAATCAGGCTGTGCTGAAGCTGACCAGGCTGTTTGATGTTTGCTGCAAGTAGGTAAATTGCTGGGAGGCAGAGGCCGAAGGGTGGGGGCTGGTGGGTGGGTGGGGCTTCAGCAACATTCACTGTATAAAACACACAGACATTTCCACCCACTTTTTGGAGGGGGGGAAAGTGCGTCTTATACTCCGAAAAGTATGGTATATAAATATGAAAGGGTAAGGAACTTTTCCCACTTCAGAAATTTGGAAGAACAGGCAAATATAGTGCCAGTTGACCTAAAAAGATATAAATACATTTTTAAAAAGTCATTAAAATTAATGTAAGGAGTGAACGTTGTTTTCTATTTCTATCAACAGAAGTCCATTAAAAGCATTGAAACTCAGCGTATGCTGGAATGTTAATGCAGATATATTAAAGGCACTGATGCAAAGGGATATGAATCCATAATTGTGATCTAATGCAGTGGTATGGTGGCATTACGTTGACATAGATTTAGCAGAAGGAAAGCTGGAAGCATTAATTGCCTTTAAATTATTATTATTCCTTGTTCAGACAAAAAAGAACCTTTTTGTTTTGTTGGGGTTTTTTAAAGTTAGAAATCAAAGTAAAGTTCTCTTTAAGCTGATCAGTCTACTGATGTACACATCCTTGTATTTTTCTTGGCAGTGAAAATAAAGTGGTTTGCCATTGCTTTCTTCTAGACTATTTATTCAGTTTCCTAATCTAGCCTGCAGCCCTGGAATTCTCTAGGGATCTCCCATCCAAATACCAAACAAGATTGAGCCTGTTTACTTATGAGCCCACTCAAGGTCAGCCAAGTGCTGCCTCCTGCAGAGATAAGTTGGGCACTAAGAATGTGTAAAGCATTTCAATGTAAACTTACTCTGCCCTTGGAGGAGTCATTCCAAATCTTCCCAGTTTCAAACAAACTGAGCTTCATTCTGAGGTTGAAACAAAACATGAGGCAATTTCAGACTAGCTCCTCATTTAGTAATTGTTATTATTTAATAGTAATACATTAGTCATTATTGCTGACTAAGATCATATATTTAAATTAAGTGTCCAAACAGGGTACTGTTTCTTTTTGAGTTTATATTTTAAAAACATTACCTTTACAAAAGGAAATCTAACCCAGAAGGTTAAATCTTCTTTGCTGATATGAGTTGACGACAAGGATATTATTCTATGCCAATGTGACTTTAGTTTAACCTTTTAAAGTACTTGCAAATGGGTAATGAGCCCTTACTCCCAACTGCTGCACAACCTGATGATAACATCATCTGACAGGTACCATGCAGCATAGATTTCCACTCCATGAGCATTCCTTCTACTGTCATTCCCAAAATTGATTTTTGTTTTAAATCACTGGTGGGTTTTTGCCAGTTTATATGAAGTAAGGATCCATACTGAAACACTTAAAACAGTTTTCAAAGCTCACATAAATACAGATTAGAATTCTGTGCAAAAGAACTTCTAGCAACATTAGAATGATAGAAAGAAAATCCACTGTGCATGTTACTAGTGGTAGGGATCCCATCAGCACTGATAAATATGTTGTATTACTCAAATCTCTCTCCTCTCCTCTCCTCTCCTCTCCTCTGGAGCAAAATACAATATTTGCTTTAATTTTAAACAAACATTCAGTCATAATCTGGTGAAAGACCTTCTGGTAAATATCTTCCATATAGCCTTGAGAAAGGATTAGTGAGAAGGCTATGCATATGAGTGCACAACCTGTGTTCACTTCTCTCTGACTATGCTCAGTGAAGATGAAAATGCACATTTTAGTTATCAATCATACCCATGACTCACTATGTGTTCAGTGTTCAGTGATGTGGCCCCTATATTTTATAGTCTGATCCTAGGAAGACATTCTACCAGGCTAAGTACAGGTCTGGCCAAAGCTGCAATCATTGGGAGCAGTGTGACCATCCTGGTTCTCCTTGATCTCTCAATTATTTTCTGGATAGACTTGGGGATTGGAGTAAGAGGCAAGGGTGTGGGGGTGTTTGCATCCTTTCTTTCTGAACAGCTTCAGAGATAGAGTTTGAGCCAGAGGTTTGCCTTCTGCCCTTCGTATATCCTTGAGATTTGGATTCTTTTTTGGAATCTTTTAGGCCTTTTTTAAGACTTTAAAAACTTTTTTTCCCCTCCCAGTGTTAGAGAAGGATCTCAGAAGGGCTTGCCTGGAAAATTGGTTGTGGATTTTGAACATGTTGTGTTTGGCCTCTGCTTGGGTTGTTTATATTGTATTGTTTGGCTCTTTTAAGTTTATTATTTATTTATTTGCCCAATTTTGCAAGTTAGGGAACTATACAAATCAATCAGTCAATCAATCAGTCAATCAATCAATCAATCAAACCATCAATGGCATAAACAAACAAACAGATGAATTGTTTAACGTTTACAAAGATAGTTGACCTGCTTCTTTTTCCAGTTATTACTTATAACTTTTGGTATCTTATGAAGCCTCCAAAAACTAAAAATACTGACTTACAGGGCTTTTTTAAGCACTAGTAGTGATCATTAATATGCCTGGTTATAAACTTTGCTGCAGGAAAGAAAGGTTCCATTTAGGATTCCAGTCACCTCGTTCCATTCCACCTTAATTTCACTCTCCTCTCCCCAGAAAAAGGCACTTTGATTCCATGCCTGTTCAGCACCTTCAGTTCATTTGGCTTCTTCAGATAGGATTATCTCCATCCCTCCTTGCAAGAGTTTTCTTTCTTTCCAAGCTGCTGATAGGTATTATTCATGGGTCTGAAGGATATTCTTGAAGCTTCATAAGAAACTCTACTAAGCAGATGGAGGTCATTCTTACTGCATATTAATAATGATGAAGATAACGATAATGTTCTTAGTTCTTATATGCCCATTTAGGTAAAATATTCCCCTTCTGCCCAAAAAAGACAGGAAGGAGGTAGTCAAAGTTAAAAAATGAGAACATAGCAGAAGTCACTTATATGTTAATGGAAAGGAATACATTATAAATAAGCAAAGTGTTCCCTAATAGACTTTTTATCTATCATAATGTTTGTGTTGTTGTGTAATCTTTATTGCTGTGATAAAGCTTACCCAGATGAGAAATTTAGGATTAACCTCTCAGTTTAATTTATCTCCTTCACTTTGCTAAAGGAAAGCAAATTTCCCTTTATTAAATCAAATCAAGAAAGCATTACTGTGAGTAAGCAGTTGTCTGCATCTTCCCGTTCACCTTTCCAGCAGAAAACAGGCTTAAAGCATTTTCAAGTAGTTAAATGAGGATAAGGTTGTGATTAGCTGGTGGTGCAGGCAAAGCTACAGAGTGGAAGTTTTAGTACCCACTCTAACTAGTTTGCACAGGGAAAATAGGAATGAGATTCTACCAATAGTCCTACTAAAGCCTACTGGATTTAGACCTACAAGCTCCCACTACAAAAGGACAGACAAGTTCCCTTCTTGCCTGCACTAGTTTGCTAGATTGCAGAGACAAAAGGGAAGTGAGTTGAGTTGTGACAGGTGACTGTCACAAAATTTGCAGGAGGGTTGTGGACAGGATGTGAATCTTCAGGTTGCAGATTCACAGGGACTTGGAAGAAACATTATCTGAGCCCTCTTAAAGCAGGTTCAGGTTGGGATACAATACAGAGACAATATTGACGGTATTTGTTGATGACCTCTGGCAGAGCAGGATGGGATAATGACATTGTACTGGTTCTGTTTGATCTCTAGTGGCTTTTGATACCATCCATCGTGGTATCTTTCTGGAATGGATTAGGAATGAGTGGCCCGTGTTATAATTGTTGTTCTCCTTTTTCTGTGGTTAGCTGATGGGGCAGGTTAACCTGTCTTGTGAATTGACTTGACACACTCCTCCCCCTCCTCTGTTTAAGTTCTACATGAAACAACCAGTAAGATCATCTATCAACATAGGATCAGATATCAACAGTATGTTGATCATACCCATCTGTACATCTCATCTCCAGGTTAATCAAATGATGCTGTCAAGGTATTTTCCTGATTCCTGAAGGCTTTTAGGATTTAGATGGGGAGTAAGAGCTCAACTCTTTTGCTTCTGATGTTTTGTTAATAGCTGCTTTAAGGATAGAAGCTCTGGTCCAATCTTCCAGATAGTCAGAGAAAAATGGAATTATAAAATAATCCAGTTGTGACTTACTCTCAGAGCATTCTTCTTCCCATATTTATACCTGAGATCAGGGATCTTATTATTCAAGTGAATTGTGGATAAACTCAGATAGGAGATTTTATTCCCCCAGAATTACTGAGGGATTTCTGGAACTAATAATGCTGGTTATTTACCCATGTAACAATTATAAACCCATATAAGTGTTCAGCACATTTCTCCACTACCTAGGCATCCCTCCCCCCACCTTAATCCCTGTTTATGAAAACAAAGATAATAGATTAGACCTAACAATTATAGGACCATACATCTGCTTAATATGATCGGCAAACTATTTGCTAAATACTCTTATCTCAAATTACTACATTGAGTTGAAAGTGAAAACATTCTCATTAAGGAAAAGGTCAAATTCAAAGGAGACTAAGAAATTCTGGATTTATGATTGGTTCATCCCCATTCAGCCAAATAATATTCCTCTTCACCCAGACATTTTGTTTTTGTAGCCTTCATTTCAAATCAGCTTTTGATTGGATCCCAAGGGAGTGGTTGTGAAGAAAAATGAAGAGGTTCCTTCATAAGCAGAAGATTGCTTCTTATTTCATCTCATTTCTCAGTTCTTCTAACACCTTTTTAAGAGTTAGAGATTAACCTTAGGGACATCTCTCCAGAACTGTCACAGCTCAAGAAGGAGTAATTTTAGACAGCCAGTTTGGTCTAGTGGTTAAGGTCCAGATTAGAAAGCAGGAGACCATGATGTCACTCCCCCACGCCACTCCATGCACAAAACCATCTGAGTGACCTTGGGCCAGTCAACTCTTTCAATCCTAGGAAGAAAGGAATGACAAATAACTTATGAAATCTTGTCAAGAAGGCAAAACGGACAAAGACATGCATGTGAACACATGCACACAGACACACGCATGCACACACACACACACACACACATCAAACATGTCCAGCTTGCAGAGGCCTATGATAAAAATCTGTTACATTTTTCATCCTATCCTACACATTTACACCAGGGTAATGGCTCTTCCAGTTAAGTATGATGAGGACTGCAGTGTTATAAGAAGTATTACAGGTGTGTCTTACTGATATGGTACAAAGATGATATTGATTCAACACACTGAATATAAAGAGCTTGTACTTTTCATAAAGAATAAAGAAAAATGGCATTCTTCCAGTAAGCCTATTGACATGGTTTCTGCATGAAGAGAAAATATGTAAATCTTTTGTAGAAAAAACCCCAAGGAGCTTATTGTACATCTCTAGAGATAGTTTCCAGCTCTTCTTCTTATCAAAAGGCTAATGCATTCTTCTTTATAAAAGCACTTTTTTTTAGTGATCAGATCTAATCTGCTTAAGGGAAGGTCTTGAAGTGCAAAACTTCAACATTTGGGAACGATGAAATTATCTGCAAAAGTCTTAAGTCGCCTAAAATGTTTTACAGAGTTCATCAACCTAAGGGCACGTCAGTTTAGTTCTTCGCTTGTGATTTTCACTGGTCAGCGCTTTTGTAGATGCTTAGCTTGAAGACAAGGAAGGTGTCAGCCTTTCTTCAAACAAAGTATAAAGAGAATTACCCAGGGACAAACCTTTGAGATTTAAAGGGCATAGAATAAAATAGCTGCTTTAATTTCTAAATTTTCATGGTTTTAGTATTTCAAAGCAGGATGAAAATACCCACAATCACAAGCCTTTTTCCAACATTAATCTTTTCGTTTTTTTAAACTAGTATTTAAAACTCATGCAAGATTTTTTAGTGGTTAGAATAGGATTATTACTAAAGCTATATGTCAGTCACCTGAGAAACAGTGTCTAGATTCAAGCAAAGGCTGCAGAGAAGGGACGGTTCATGTCATTACATCTGGTCAATACAAATAATCATTACTGAATTACAGGTACTGGACGAATTCCATATAGCATTTACATTCAGAATTAAATATCACACTGTATAACATAGATATTCACTTTTAAATCTTCACAGCATATAAAAAATCTTTTAAAATATTTACATAGAGAATGTTGAACTTAATTTTATATCCTTCATCAATGTTGAAAATATTCAGATCAATATTTGAGAGGCTGCAACCAAAGAGGAGGGGGATCAACTTACTTTCCAAAGCACCAGAGGGCAGGATAAGAAACAATGGATGTAAGAAAAATAGACAATAGAAAATTTTGAATACCCTTATCTGAAGTACTTTATTAAAAATGTGAAGCAAAATATTTAGTGCAAGTTAATCTTTGATGGCGAGTTATATAAATATGTCCATAAATTAAAATATCTATGCAAGAGAAGAGTTAAAATTAACTACAGTGATTTTATTCAGCCCACAAGATCAATATGTTTAGTAGATAGCTCAAAGACCTTTGGTGTCCCTGTCGACATCACAGAATAAAACCAGAAAAGGGAATTTACTTAGTGTGTGTAACAGGGGCACCCATCTTTACTTTTTTGATCCCTTTCTGATGATTGACTGCTATGTAGCATCACAGTTCAGATTGGGTTACAAATATAATAATCAAGAAGAGCTCTACAAATCTAGAATCAGATTCAAACATAAGTGGAAGTAGAATGTTCATACAGATAATCCTTGATTTATGATCATTTATATAATGATGATTCAAAGTTACTATGGCCTCTGAAAAGGGAGCTTACAACCCATATTCACACTTACAATCATTGCAATCCATGTGATCATATGATTGCAATTTGGACACTTGGCAACCTCCTTGCATTTATGACCAATTGCAGTGTTCTGTACATCATGATACCAAAGAAACTTCTCCCATATATTTAGTTCCCTGATAAATAGTCATTTGGGGCTCAGTGCCCTGAAGGAGGTTGCTTGTAGAATTGCTTCTGAAGGTACATTCCACATTCCCTGAGTGTGGAATGGAAGACTGATTTAAAGAATGCTGAGATACCAACGAAAGACATACAGTCTGAGACCCCAGCCTCACCCCTGAAAGCACTTTTTCCCATGATACTGTCATACATCAGAGAAATACAAGAATTAGATGCATCTCAGCTGTCATTCAAAAATCAAAATATTGTCTATACCTGTCTTTCCCAGGTGGATACTTTTCGGGTGGTCTGTGATTTTCTGCTAGCTAGCATTTTGGGGAGTTGCAACCCCAACACACTAATTTATGATTATTTACAACATTTTCTTGTCATCTAAACCAACTATTATGCAAATAATAATATGGGAAGTTGGCATTCTTGGTAGACAGGAAGTGTGATCATCTGGTTTCTCACAGGCCTGAAGTAGATTTCAATTCAGGAAACTCTTTTGGAAATGGTGAATAGGAGAAATATTTTTCCCAGTTCCGGTTTCCTTTGTGGCTCTTGAAAATCGGTTTCATGCAGTTTGGAAAAGAATACTGAGGTGAGAAAAAGTGGAGCCAGTAAAAGTAGCTTCCCCTCTTTCTCAGTTTGGCATCTGCTGAATGACAAAATGGCACAGGTAGGTAGGTTCCATAGCCATGGTTTTACATCATTTTAGGTTTTCAGTTATTGTTCTATTAAACATACTGGTAATTTTAGTAACACATGATGTCGATCCATTTTGTCACCTAATAATAATTCTAAAAAGTATTTTGAGTGTTAAAATCAGTTGGTCAGTGCACACAGAAACCAATTATGCTATTGTTCTGACCCAGCTCCCCAAACACGACAAACCCCCAAAAGATTCCTTTATTAGGAATGCCGGCAGCCCCAGCAAAAAGTTTCTCCTGAAGACTAACAAGTCCATCTGGCCAGAAGATAAATAGTTGTCTGTCACACCTATTCATCTCCACCCCCTGCCTTTTATCCCCAGAGTTAGGGTAGGGCCTCGCTAGCAGCAGTGGCTCTTTCTTCTCCATGACTTTTGGCCTACGACTTTCCACTGCTCTCCCCTTCTCTGCCTTCTGCACAGCTGCACGTCAGGCACTGGACCCAGCTGTTCCTCCTCTTCTTCAGCAACTACCTCCAGACCTGGGGGCTGTTGACTCTCCATCTGAGGGCTGGCAGATGGCCCAGTCTCCACCTCTGTCTCTCTCTCTCTGCCAGTTCCATCCCCTCTTCCCCTTTGGAGCTCCCAGGTTGCCTTGATGCTGACCCTGACTCCCATGCCTCAGCTTTCTCCTCTGATTTGGCTGCTGTAGGGGCCGGAGACCAACAGGCCACAACAGTTATTCTGTAACATGGTTTGGTAGCATAGCACTGAATAATATTGCTACATATTTGCTATGGCCTCCATGCTCTTTTGTTATTTGAATGTTGTCTTTAGTGGTAGCTGTCTACAAATGCCAGGTGGAAATGTGAGGGTGCCTGATCATGCACAAGTACACCTGCAAGTGTGGGAGAGATGAACAATGGAGGAATATGTTTTTCCCATCTCCTTTTAATATAAGCAAATGGTCTCTAGAAGTGAATTTTTACACTGTTCTTAATAGTGTGTAAATAGTAGCTAGATCCTATGATGTGTGTCTTTTCTCAGATTGTCAATTGGACTTATGTCTTCAGCAGTAATAGGTTCCATTTCCCTTTGCTTTGCTTTATTCGTTTTAAACTACTATTCCATTGGCTGGTTTGTTTGTTTGTTTGCACTTTCATTACTCTCTTTTGTTATTTCCATTCATTGTATAGGACAGATAGTTCAGGAAGAGCTACTGCTTTTTTTGTAAGCACAAATATTTTCAGGATCTTTTCTGGCTCTTGCATTTGGCCAAGAGTGCATTGAAATGGCACAGCACACTTTGCTATCACAGTTGAGTAACTCCTATTTCTTTGCTTCTCTGTGTGTATTGGGTTGAGGTGGGGAACAGGACAGTGTGAGATATAATATAGCAGATGAAAAAACATACACAATGTGATATCATGTTGCTATCCTTCTCCGTCTCCATATTTTTATGAGTTGGTTTCTGCAGGAGGGTGAGATGTATTGATGTGACACATAATTAAGTTATTTTGTTGTTTTCTATAATATTAGAAATATTTCACTGTCCTCTGGATGTTACACTTGTCTCAGAAGGAAAAAACAGTGGGATCGCTAAAATGGGATTAGTTAATGTTACTGCAACTCTATATGCCACTAGCAAGTAACACAGTACCGTCTGTGATTTGGACTACAGTTGCTACTGAAGATGGTAGAAAGTTGAAGGCATCAGGTTACTTATTATCGCTGCTGTAATTGTTTGAAAGTTTACCCTATTAAATATAGAGAGGCTTATATCTTAGTCAAAAAAAAAATAATGTAAGAAGCTCAGTATAAAGGAGTTGTAATCTAAGATGTTGCATTCCTAAATATAAACCTTTTTAATTAATTTAGTTGTCATAACTTTCTGCCTATGAAAATTTGGTAGTTAAAAGAAAATAAAAGTGTGAAAAGCCAGAATTAAGAAGACAGCAACAGACAGCAAATGCCGCCTCTGCAAAGAAACTGAAGAATCAGTGGACCATCTAGTTAACTGCTGCAAGAAGGCTGCACAGACTGACTATAAATAATGCCATGATGAAATACCAACAATGGTGCACTGGAAAATCTGCAAGAAATACCATTTAAGTGAAAGCAAGAAGTGATAGGACCACAAAGTAGACAACATGAAAGAAAATAAGGAAACTAAAGTCCTCTAGGACTTTAGAATTCAAACAGACAAGCATCTGCCACATAACACTTCAGACTTAACCATGGTTGATAAGAAAGACAAAAAAAGTCTGGATAGTAGATGATGCAGTACCTCGAGTCAGCAGAATAGAACTGGCTTGGAGAATGGTGTTGGGACTGAATACTACAAGGTTGAAAATAGCACATGTACATTGGTCTGTGAAACAGATTAATTGAATTTTGTCTCTCTCATACTGGAAATTAGCAAATACCTTTCTCTTCTTAACTCTCTCTCTCTCCATTTCAAAGCAGAGGCACCATTTCTACATTTCAAAGGACTAGGGTGAAGCCCCTTCTATACTGAAATTCAAGTAAGCCATGTCCCATGAAAAACAATGGATGTATGTAGGCTTTTGCAACCACTGTTAGTGGCTGTATTGATTTAGTGTCATGTTTAAACAATTCCACCCACCACTGTTAGTCTTTGAAAAACTATGGACATTGCTTGAAGGGAGGAGTCATAGAAATAGTCACCAATTAATATCAGTATTGCTTTGAACATTGTTTTTAAGTGAAACTCGAAGTTGGAAGCACCTGGTTGATCTTGGAAGATTATATGGTCCACCCTTGTTAATATTCAGATGAGATTAAACGTTACCTGTAAATTCAAAGTTATTGACCAGAGATTGAAAAATGTTGACTGAGATTGAAAAAAAACCTAGATGAAGTCTGTGGCAAGCCACGTTTAGTATACTGCCAAGGAAACAGCATGGATGCAGATGTTAGGAACTGAACTTTACTCAGAGATATCAATATCTTTAAGTAACCTAAAAGGAAATAATAGATTAAATGTAAGCTTTACTGTATGCTATTTTTATACTATTCTTACTTTAATATAATAAACTGGAAAGAAGAAGCATGAATTGGAATGAAAATTGTCATTTCAAGTTTGAATACCTTACATCCTGCAGATCTGGTTACCTCAGTAAAGCTCTTTGTTTACAATAATTAATTTCTCACTGATTGAAGCTGAATAAATTACATTAAGCATGAATGTTAAAGAATGTTTTCATTTTCCCCCCTATCAACTCCAGGAAGAAGGAAAAAGATCTAATTTTTTTCTTTCTGATTGACTCTTCAAAAATGATTTCCCATCCAGGAAAGAGAATTCAGTTTTGTTTTATTTTAAGTTACTAAATCACACAGTTGGAAGTCCCCCCCTTCCCCCCACACAATATTGCCTTTTTAAAAAATAGCACATTCTCACATTCTCATTTTAAAGATTGAGACTGTCAAGGAGAGAATGTGATTAGTTTATCTCTTCTTCTTCTTCTTCACACTATTTCAAAGAAACATGCCACAGTGTGAACATTACAAACAAGAATGGGCAAAGGATCTAATTACATTGCAGGATGAAGCAATTCTCCTCAACCTTCTGCTTTCCTGATGTGTTAGGATTAAAAAAACCTAGAACTGTAAGACAATTGCCCTGCCATTGTGAAAATTGTATATTCCAAAACATTTGAGACTAAGTTAATTTAAGCTATATATTAGCAAAATCATGAAGAGAATTGGACTGTTTCTTTAGGATAAAGGCAGAAATTGTATTCTGTTTAAGATAAAGGCAGGATGCGGGAGACACATTCAGATTTGCAAGTTTCTTGTAAGTCCTTCTAATTAGACCAGACTTGGAAACCAAAGTTATAAACAGTAAAACTTTTTTTATTATAGGATTACAGTTACATAATTTTGCAAGTCTAAAAAGAACTAAAGAAGAATCAAATCTGAGATGTTTTCTCAATTTGTATCCCTGCTTTGGACCTAGAATTCTCTTATCCAATGATCCTCTTGGCTGTGGCTATTGTTCTCATTCCTCAAAGTTTATTATTACAATATATTACAGTTCTTGTGATAAAAGGTAAAGGATTGTACAATTGGTAATCAAAAATATTTGAATGGCATGAATTTGTCTATCCCCTATTTAAGTAAATCATTGAAATGAACAATCGGGCCAAAAAAATTATACTTGTTCTCTTTAGTAAAAAGTTGTGCCAGTACATACCTAAACCATGGTTCGTTCAAATTGTTATTGGAATAAAAAAGGAGTTTGCAAGATTCCTATATTTGCCATAGCAACAGGGAGATGACACTAGAGTTTTGTGATTCCACTTTGTAGTGGTTGCTTGGAAACAGCAACAGATGAACTGATGGGAAAAGAACACAATAGAATTGATCTGAAACAGAGTCAAGGTGTTCAAAGCAATTAAAAAAGAAAGCCAGCAAGAGTACAGTGGAGAAATAATTTGTTCAAAGGAGTGATGGGCAAGTGGATGGCATAAATGTATTTCTACATAATGGATAATTAGTCCCTGTGACTGGGTTCACACAAAAAACTAAAAATAGGGTTGAGTAATTTATAATTCAATGTGTTGTGAGAACTCATCTGCATTTTTCTAAATCATCAATCATATTTAGTTAACTGGGGATTAGGGCCTGTCAGGAAATGGAATTTAGATTAAATGGGATGCATAAAGGAAATGGAGTGATCAGAAACATGATCACATTACCACTTGGAATATCACAATGGTAGATACCAGGATGAATCGTTGAAGGGCAACACATTAAACTTTATTGACTGAAGTTAGGTATAAATATTCACCATTTACACAGATCAAGATTCTTACTTTTACCATTGGTTCATTTAGCCTTTAAATTTAAATGATTGAATTATAATGTGTTATGAGTTTTCTTAACTAGTAAATGATTATTAAATTATTGAAAGGAATATTTCATTCATTTCAAATCTTTTCTTCCACAACTTTGTAAGAAACTCCATCATATTTAGGAAGTGGCAGTATCATGCACTATGATCCCTACTTTCTTTTGAGGAAACCTGTTATGAAATGAAATTACCTAACTTGTTGGGTTGGCAATATATAAACCATCATTGTAGCTTTAAGAATGCTGTATTGCATCATACTGTGTCCTGATTGGTTAGCTCTGTAGCTAATGTCCTTAAAAGGGAGCTAGAAACATGATTTGTCTCTCTTTACTGCCTCTTTGCTGATCATTACTGCTTTTTGCTGTGTTTGCTGTGTTTATTGTGTATGACTACAACAACTGGTAAGAAGACTTTGTTATTGGATTATCCCTGGACTATTGTTTTACTATCTATTGCTTTATATGTGTATGACCTGGACTGTTTATTGGACTGTGCCTTATTACTATTTCCTGAAAGTAAACACAACTCAGTGTATCTGTGTGTTGGCTGTGTTTGTTCATAACTACTCTCAATCGCTTTCATGTGCACACCCTTGCTACTCAAGGGTTGCTCTGCAAATTCCTTAACAAAACCTTCTCTCTCTCTATTTGTCTCAAATTTGGTAAAGTGGGTCCATTATCAGCACTTACAGTTGATTCTGAAAGTTGCTTATAGTCATAATGAATAATAGCTATGATAAATTGCTGATATTTATTTATTTATGCATTTATTTATTTATGTGTCTGTTGCCCATCTTGTTTCAAAATGACAGTGGGTGGTTCGCAGCATTAAAAGCATACAGTAAAACCATGATATAAATATTTCTAAATCAATAAAGATGGAATTATAATCAAAGATAAAGTTATAGTTAAAAGATGGGGAGAAGGGAACTGGGTATGTGTTTGTGGGGGAGAAGTAGTATTGTCTCTTAATTCATCAGCCACTTTCAATGTGATGTTCCCCCAAGCCATCTAGCAGACCCAGGTCTTCAGGACCTTACAGAAGGTCAGAAGGGTGGGAGCCAATCTCACCTCAGGTGGTAAAATGTTCCAAAGGGCAGGAGTTATGGACCCCGCCTGCTGAAATTCCATTATTGATGGGGCCTGCAGCATGCATCCTCTGCTGGCGTGGGTCATGTTATATCATGAAGTGCAAAAAATATAGGTTGGGGCATGAAGCAACCAACATCTATGTTGAAGTCCCTTGACCACCCTAACATGGATGGAGCAGAAAAAATGTGCATCTTCTGCATTGAACATGCTTATGCCATGTTGAGAATCCTCTTGAAAAGAGAGCTGTAACTCCATCTGAGAAGTCAAAAGTTTGGACTGTCCTGTTTTCAGGATTTCCATCATGCTGCTCCATCATGCTGCTCCATCATAATCTCACTTGATCTAAGAGTGGTTGGGATCCGCCCCACTTTAGTCATCTAAGCTGCTGACCATCACCAGAATAGGGGATTAGATGTTGCAATTTAGCTCTGTATAAGCATATGCCAAAATAGAAGATACAGTGTCATAATTATTACTATGTCTTGAAGAAAAATTACAAGGGTTTTAATTTATAATTATTAAGGTGCAGGAATGAATTGCAGTGTTTCTAAGGCAAATCTTATAGCAGAAACAATTATCCAAACTTATGAATTCATAAAATGAGCCCATGAATCCCAACTTTTGCTATGAGTTTAGAACGGCTTTTATAATATTTTATAATACTTACAGTATACTGCATTAATTTTTTTTTCAGATCAATAATTAGGATATTCAATTGTCTAAAAGGCATTCCTGTTTTCTATTCTTTAGCAGATTGTGTTTATTGAGTGTAGGGTGGGCCATATAACCACTTATGAGGAATATATTGGGCAAATTAAATACTTCATTTAATAAAAAATGGCCATTCTTGCTAATTAAGATATTTATTTTAAAAAGAATAAGGTCCTTGATACAATTATTACCTAATTTGTTTGTGTTATTTTTCTAATATAAGCTGTTATTCAATTGCTCACATCAAATGATGAATTTTATCTCATTACTTAAAGTAAATAAATGGCTAATTAGTTTTATCCTTGTAATGTATGTATTCCCAGTATAAAAGCATCATTCTTTAACAAGAGAAATCCATTGGTCAAATACAATCTGAGCCAATGAAAAAGATCACTTTAAGAAACAGCTTTCATTGCTTTTTTTTTTTGCTTTTTTGCTTTTTTTAATTTATATGTCCCCCTTCTCCGGAGACTCTGGGTGGCTTACAATGCGTTAAGCAATAGCCTTCATACTTTTGTATATTTATACAAAGTCAGCTTATTGCCCCCACAATCTGGGTCCTCATTTCACCTACTTTTGAAAGGATGGAAGGCTGAGTCAACCTTGAGCCTGGTGAGATTTGAACTTGCAGTAATTGCAAGCAGCAGATGTTAATCTGTTAATAACAGTGCTTTAGTCCACTGTACTACAGGCTCTTGCAAAGATCAGTCTAGGACAGGGCTGTCAAACTTGGGGCCTGCGGGCTGGATGCATCATGCACTGGCCACACCCATGCCCAGTTTAGTGAAGGGGGAAAAAGTATCTATACGTCACGTGACACTGCCATGACAATATGAGTTTGACTCCCCTGGTGTAGGAAATAACAAAAATCCATCTTGCACAATGGAAAGACTAAGAGAAAACTGTGATCTTTTCAATCCATCTAGTTGTCAGGAACTTGGTTCATTACATTCAAATTGCAATTTCAAGGGGAGGAGATTTGCTGTAAAAGTTTTCCTGTTGTTCATGTGCCAGCTATTGCAGCTTGTCTAATTTATATTTAGCCAGCTTTAATAAAACACGGAATACAACAAACAGCGACAATGAAAATTGCATTCTTCTTTATCAACCATTTTTATTTTAAACTTGCTTTTGTGTTGTGGAGCTACAGACCTTCCTCCTGTATCATATGCTCCCTATAAGTGCTGAAAGCTGTTTCTTAAAGCGATCCTAGAGTCCTTTGTTAAAGTCAAGGATAATTTGGGCTGACTGATTTGATTGCTGCTCTTTTCCTGTAAAGAGGGCTCAATAAGTGAAGCGGCTTGCATAGATAATTTAGATCTAGATGATTGCTAGTGAACTAATGATGCAAACACAGCTGAAATAAAAATTTCCACTTTATGGGTAAATTAAGTGGGATGAAAAAAACTCATGCAGTTTCAGGAGAAGACAGAAGGGAAAAAAGGGGGAAAAAAGCTTTTAAGCACCTGTTGCCTGGACTATATCAGAGCAAGACTGACATCATTTAAGTTTTTTACCCATAGGATCTTTGCCAAAGGACCCTTCAATGAAAGGTACCATGGATAGTTCATGAGGGGAAAAAAAAAACACTCCAAGGAAATTAATCAGTGCAGAGTAGCTGCACTGTATACTAATGATGTCGAAGAAGAAGATCAACCTTTTGGAGAGCTCGTATACGCTGAAGCTTAACTGGCAAGGTGGCCACAAGAAGGGAGCACTATCAAGCTGCCATGGAACAAGAAAATATCTTGACAAACAGCATTAAAAATGCAATGGAATCCTATACAGGCAGTCCTTACAACAGTTCATTTAGTGACTATTCAAAGATACAACGGCACTGGAAAATAGTGACTCATGACCATTTTTCACACTTACGACCTTTGTAGCATCCCCATGATCAAGTGATTAAAATTAAGATGCTTGACAACTGGTTCATACTTATGCCCGTTGCTGTGTCCCAAGGTCACGTGATTACTTTTTGCAAGCTTTTGACAAGCAAAATCAATGCGGAAGCCAGGTTTGTTTGGGTTGGCTATCCTTTCTGATCTCTCTTTACATTAATCCATCAGAAGAAATGCTCAGTAAGTAAATACTCATTTGTAGAAGAGCGATGTGTCATAATATTCCATTTTTGTGCGAAAAGGTCTCCAGTTTTTCAGTTATTTTTGACTGAAGATATGCACTGCTTGAGAGAAATAGACACATTGCATTCAAAAGGGAACATCACATGAAAGTCTGTGAAGAGATAAATCTCCATATTTAGTCATTTTAAGCCTGTATTATTCCTCCCTATTTATTTTCTTTTGCTTTTTCCAATTTTGCCATGGTTCTTCTATCCTATATCCCTAGTGAGCAAAAATCCTGTATTCTTGCATATTGCAAAGGAATAACTTAAAACCAAGCATATTTTTTGAATAACTCCATTGGTAACATTTTAATAATTTCTTCATTAGCAAATGTATAAACCTTCAGGCTGAAAAAGCAGATCATGGCATTTGTAGAGTTATGAAAGCCCAGGAAACCTTTAGGGAAGAGAAACTCACTTTTTCACAGTTTTGCTTGTGCTTCTGAGTTCTGAAAATTGTCTTCGGGTTTTTGTGGCTGCAGGGTTTTTTTTT